ACCAATCATACACCATTTGTAGGCTGCCACATTAAACCTGTGGTTCTGGAAGGCTGAGAGGTGTGGAGAAAAACAAATGGAAAAGTATTATTCGTGACCAATTGATCAATTAGAGTGCTTTTCATTAAAAAACATAAAAAAGGCGGAAACAATTTAGCAATGACTGTGTTAGAAATGCATGAAAACATTATTAATGTTGGATTTTTTTCTCATTTATTTTTAGTTCTCTTTAGAAAATTTCACTTGAGAGTTTTCTGTAATGGCAATCAAAGGAGCAAATAAGACAGCACTGGAACCCTTTTGTAATGTTAATGAAGGGGTAGGGACTGATCCGCAGCTTGTAAGGCCTTTTCTGTGTAGTTGCTTCAGAAGCCAGACTGATTTACGGATGTCTGAGAGCTTGAGATAACCAATTAGGGAAGTCACCTTCTAACAAGACTCATCTTTGTCCCAAGAAGAAATCCAGTGTGGTCTTTTATAAATCTGACAATGGCTACACTCTTGTGTTTTAGCAGCAACATCTTATACAGCACAGGAATGTGGAAAATGATATGTCAAAATATCATCTTGTGTCCTGAGGCTCTGAGGTCTCCTAACTCCCTTCTCCTATTATTCCTTTCAGGTTTTTCCTTCCTATTCCTTCATCGTTCTACATTTTTCAGTTCCTAGTATTATCCTTTATGTTTAAAGTCCCTCATACAGAGCCTTAAGCTACATAAATACAATAAGTAAACTCATCTATTGCTCTAATTCAGATGAACAAAACCAAAAACATGTTTTGGTAGCAATACTCCCAGATTTTCAATAACTTAATTTAAAACTTGGATGGTGGTGGTGGTGCTTGGGGGAGTGAGGGGTCCTGTTACTGATTTCCATTCAGTTTCATTTGTGTCAGTTCTCCCTGACAGATGCCAGTCTTCATACAGAATGCTCTGGAATCAGACCATCTGGGTTCAAATCTGGACTCTACCACATACTAGTTAAGTGACCTTGTGCAAATTACCTAACTTCTCTGTACCTCAGTTTTCTCACTTGTGAAAGGATAATATTAGCACTTATTTCATTGTGCCATTATGAGAAGCAAATAAGTTAATACTTGCTAAGTGCCAGACCAGGCAAATAACAGACATTGTTTTAGGAACTTTATATGTATAAATTATTTCATCTTCAAAATGATACGATAAGATAGGTGCAATTATTACTCTCATTTTATAGCTTAAGAAACTAAGGCACAGAAAGACTGAGTAACTTGTCCCAGTTGGCCCAATTAGTAACTGAAGGATTGGCCTCAAACCCAGACTGTCTGGCTCCACAGCAAGCATTCAGTAAATGTTACTTGTTGTTGTTGTTACCTGAACGTATACACTCGATAAAATATCTCCTGTTGCCCTGGCCGGGTAGCTCGGTTGGGTGGAGCATCGTTCTGCTACGCCAAGGTTGCAGGCCGGATCCCCGGTCAAGGCACATACAAGAACCAACCAATGAATGCACAAAGTGGAACAACAAATCAATGTTTCTCTTTCTATCTCTCTCCCTCCCTTTCTTTCTCTCTAAAATCAAACAATAAAATTTTTAAAAGTAAAAAATACTTATAAAAATAAATATCTGCTATTGATGCTGATAATGATGAATTTGTATGTGTAATCCTTCTTCAAAGTGTACTAAGATGTCCATGACCCCTACAGGATTAGTTGATTTAGGCAAGGATTATTGCCTGAAGTCATTGGTGGAGTTTGTTGGGACATAGGATATTACCATGTGCCAAAGTGTCACCTGCTCAGGTTACTTCTCAATTGCAAAGGAGAAAAAGTAGCTTTGCGACAGAGATCCCTGGAGTGAGGTCGCTACCTTGAACCACGATCAAACTGAGCATCACAAATAGAGGGACAACCTGACATTCGGTGCCTTCTGGTGAGATGCAATATAGAGCACCTTGTAACAAACGCTCCCTCGAAATATAATAAATGCTTTAGGTCTAACTTTGAGCTTACAGGAAATACACGGGGTAAAGGAAGAAATGAAATGATATCAGGAGGCAACAACAAATCCAGAATGTGGAACATTCCACAAGATAAATGGCCTAACCTTTTAAAAAATTCAATGTCAAATAAAAAGACATAAAACACCAAGGCAAAAATGTGCTTTCCTTTTTAACAATCAGATCTAGTTTTGTTTTGTTTTTTGTTAGGTATGGAAGAAATTTCAAGGACGAATGGTGAAAGTTAGATATGGCCTAGATATTAGATAATATTAAGGAATTACTGTTCATTTTCTTAGGTATAATGATGGCATTGTAGTAATACAGGCAAATGTTCTTATTCTTAGATGTACTGAATTATTTAGAGATGAAATGTCATTCTGCCTATAACTTACAAGTAGTTCAGAAAGAAATCACATACAAATGTAACCAATATAGCAATAAATTCACAACTGTTGAATCTAGGTTTTATAGAGGTGTTAATTGTACCAATATTTCAACTTTAACTTTGAACATTTTCTTCACTTTCTTCATAAGATATATGCCTTACATCTTTGGAGAACATGTAGGACTTTTATTTTCATGTACTTAGTAATAGTTTTATGTTTTATTTCCCTAAAGTGTTTGCCTCTGAGTTAATATTTAAAAAGAATTTTTTTAAAAAAAAGTTACTAAATTCCTATTGGCTCAAGCTTATTGAAAACTTAATAATAGTTGTTGAAGAGAATTCAGTACCTAACACATAGTAAATGCCCAATAAACGTTTGTCAATGTTCATTTATGTATGTAGTACGCTTTTCTGAGGATTGCAAAGTGGAGAGAGACAGGGAGAGAGGGAGAGGAGAGGAGAGGAGGGAGAGAGGAAGAGAGAGAGGGAGGGAAGGAGAGAGGGAGGGAGGAAGGGAGGGAGACAGTGATAGGTAGATTGAGAGGGAGAGGGAGAGGAGGTTGTGTTGTTTCTTTACAGATCAAGATATGCTGGGCAAATACTTGAGATGGACAAAATGGGGGCCATTCGACCCTATCCTTTGATTCAAATAGCTTAGGTCATGAAGATTCTTGACCAAGTTTTGAGTTTGTTTTGCAAGGGCACGAAAATGAAAAATCTGTCCCTACGACTAATCCAGAAGCAACTACTATTACTTGTTTAGAAAATACTGATGGACTCACACTTAATGACACATTTTGAACAATTGTAGACTTTTCCTGATTCAGGAAAAGAGGCAAGTTTTGCTCAAGTTTTGGCATGAACCCTCCAAGTCATCAACACCAGTGGATGTTATTCTCTGAGAATCAATAAATATGGGGAAACTAGAGCCATTTTCAGCTCGTCCAGAAGGCAATGGTTCTCAAAGAGATGGCTTTAGGTAGTGAGATATACTTTGTATAAGAGGTGGGAAGAAAATGATCAAGATTAAAAAAATAATAATGGTATCATTTTGCATTTTCATAGTGCCATTTTCCTAAGGCACTTCATATCTATGTTAACTCATTTATTCTTATAATATCCCTATAAGGTAGACATAGAACTACTGAGATTAAAAAAAAATAAAAGGGATTTTCATCAGGGTCTAAGATGTGGAAGAAATTCAAAAGGATATTATATTAGCAATAGAGATATTTCTTCATATTGAACAAATTGATCACCTCCTTCCCCTCTGCTTCAGTAAAGTCTTTTTAAAAAGATAAAATCTATTACAATTTAGGGAGAATAAGATTACAGTTTACTACAGGGGAGACACTCCCAGTTCAATCTAAAAAGGTAATTTTATTCAATGATATAGGGCTGTCTCTCTTTAATAAAAAACACAAAATAATTCTCAAAAAGAGTACAAATCAGAATTTTTAAAACTTGAAATTTAAATTCACTTAGCTATTTACATAGTTTTCTTTATTTAACAATGGATCCCTTTGTAAAGAGAATCACTTTAAATTATTTTATAAATATTAAGTTTTATAAAAATTTACACTGGCTTGTTAAAGCAGAATATACTTACAGTAAATGTTCTTTCTGAAACCAAAAATAAGAAAAAAAGGGGAGAGGGGACCACTAAGGGGCTAAACAATCTATAATAAATGTAGTTGTATAGAAAAGAGTCTTCAGCCTGAGCTTTCCCATTCTCAGATGACACAACATAAGCAACATGTAATCCTTTCCATTGGATTTTTAGATCCTAAATTTTTCCTCTCTTAATTGATCTAGGGATGTTTATTTTCAGTAATGTGCAAATTAAGAGCATGGCCTTAATTAACAAGGCCTAATTTGGGGTATATAAATACAATATTTTTCCCCCCACAAAATTGTGTTTCAGTACAATATTTTAACGTTAGTAAAATCCTTGGCAGGTGTGTTCAATCCTCACATTCAGGAACAGGTGGGGCAAAAAGCATAGAGGAGATGTCTTAAGACTTGGTGCCTGAACTACAGACAGTCTTAGGGATATAGCGTTAACAGTTAATAAAGAGACAAAGATAGACAGAAGTCTTCTCAAAATCTATTTCAACACAACGTTTTCTTTTCGTAAAGAAACCCAAACTGGAGTTCTTTGTTACGGTAACATAAATACGAACAGAAGTAGAAATGAGAGCAATAAGAGAAACCCCAACCTCAGAGTACTAGTGTTCATTCATTGCTGCTCAGCCCCTCACCTCCACTCCCCAGTCTGAATTAAATGCTGACTATGGTGAAGTGAAATTTCACCTTGGTAATCCCAGGGCCTAAAGTCTCTCTCTGATCTGGCTCAGAAGCCAGTCAGTGGAGGTATTTTTCTGTAATGCGCTGGGTAAGGAACAGGTCTTCTTCTAGTTCACTTGCCAGATAGAAGTCAAATCCTATCACCACAGCCATTGCCACAGCAAAAGATTTAGAGACCTTAGCTGATGGACCAAAGTATTAAAAGCAATATTTGGAGAGCCCATGGGGTTCATTTTAATTAGAACTGACTCATAGAGAGCATTCTGCAAATTATAAAACTGTTCAAGATGTCTAGAGAATGTGGACCGACGTTGTATAATGACATACCTTTTAGAAGAGAAGCGGCTGAGTCTGTATCTTGGCTTTGACACTGAGTTAGAATCCTCTCCTGCAAGAAGGAAGATGCATTCACATACAAATTACTGCATTTCAGAGTACAGATACACCTTGCGCTGTCTTCCAGCTCCCACACTAAAAAGAGGGTACACGCTCACAGAAACATTAAAGTTCCTCCTCCTCCCTACTTCTTACTCCCTCCTCCAAACTACCCCCAGTCAGTCCTGCAGTGTGCAGGCAAACCACACAGGAACTAGCAGACATGGGGCTTCAGAGAGTTGGGTGTGAGCCTTCGATTATGTGGTTTTGTTTTCTTGCTGCCAGAGTTGAACTAAAATGCAGGAGGTGCACTGAAACACTTTGCTTCTTTATGCTTGGTTTCAGTTTTAACAAATTTCCCCCTGAACCATTATGCTCACATAAGAAAATTTCTAATCCCGGAGATGATCTATTGGCAAGCTGCTGCTGGTCTTAAGGAAAACGCTCATTTTCTCTTAGTATAGCCAAGCATCCATAGAAACACTAAGAATTCTTAGGGCACTTACTTAATACCACTCTGGTTCACTCACAATATTAAAATCCCAGGGAAAATGCGTTCTCAGTGCACTTAGCCCGTAATGTTACCCTTAACAAACAAACAAAAAAGAGAAAAGCTGAGCCAGGATGCGTTCCAACATGTTCTACCACAGCCAGGGCATGAACTGGGACTGGCTGCTTCAACTTCTGGGAGTCACTTTCTCTTGAGTTGGTTGGACTAAAGGATTTCTGAAATTTTAAGATTTTTTTTTTACTGCCTTAAGATTTTTGTCACCTGCTGGAAGCCGGTCCATCCTTGCTGCTTGACACAGTAACTGCAGGGAAGAAACATCTGCACAGCATATTTTTCAAGGGACCTGGCGTATATGGCATACTGTTCTTAATATGTTTGCTCCCCTTCTTGGCGCTATGTGTTTTAACCAAGGTCACCTCTCTGAGAAAGGCTGCTTCCTCAGGTAGGGATTTTTCCCTGAAGTCAGGGAGGGAATAAAACCCCTTAACTAAGTGCCAGGCGGGTAGTTAATCACTTTAACTATGAACAATCATGCTTAAGCTACATAATCTTTACTCCCTGGAATGGAGATAAGAAACGCCCTAACCTTTGGAATAGAAATTGATAGGATTAAAATCAACTGGTATAAATACAGATGTAACAAGACAATAAAAGACAGAACCTGGCTGGAGAACCTAGTGAGAGAACATGGCTACAGAACTTGGCTGGAGATCCTGGCTAGAGGAACCTGGATATGATGATCACCTGAATGCTGCCTCTGTGTCATTCCTTCTTCGCCGACTCCGTCCACACCTATGGGAACCCCTGGACCTGATGGGCTGGACCCAACAGTCACCTCAACTTTCTTAGTTCTTATCTTCAAATTTATAACTCATCCGCCTCTCTAAGTTCCTCCCTCCCATAACAAGTACAACTTGTGAAGGCCTCTTTCCCTCTCTTTTCTCTTGTTGGAAAATGGATTGCAACGCTGCATCTTTTGCACAAAATTAGACACGTTTCTATTTCATTCAGAGTTGGGGAACTGGACCCACGACAAAGAGGAAACTGTTGGCTCACAGGATATTCCTAACATCAATCCCTTGAAGACTAAGAAGAAAGGTATTACATAAGACTCAATTTGGGGTTCTAAAATGGAAACTTATCCTATACTGTGAAATGGTATCCTTTTCTATCTCTTTGCCCCTTTATGCCTAAACCTTGCTCAAGATTTACCCCTTAAAACTTTTATTTGGTAATGATTTTCTTTTTTAAAAATTGAAATAGAAAAGAAGAATCTGGTGTAGAATCAGCAGAGTACCTTGGTCATAGTAGGCAGATGCTCAGTAAATATAGGTGTCCCAAAAATATATATACACACTTTGAGATGATGGCAACCTAAGACAGCTTGTGGGAAGTGAAGGTTGTGGAAGTAACTGAATTCTGAATATACAGGGTGACCATAAAGTCTGGAAACACAGATATTATTATTTTATTGTGTATTAGAATGTGTCACTGATATAACATTTATTAACTACGGACCACATATTACCCAGATTTAGTATGAAAGATGAGCTGATGAATATGATGCGCGGTGTGACAAAGAGACGAGTCAATGATGACTCCAAGGTCATGGTCTGAGAAACCAGAAGCAAGGATGTGTCACTTACTGAGATCGGGGAGCAGGTTTGGAAAGTCAGGAATTTGGTTCGGGACATACTAAATTTGAGATGTCTATGAGAAATACCAGTAGGGGGGCTGGTCAGGAGAGGTTAGAGCTGATAATGAAACATTTGAGAGTCGCTGAAAGAGAAGGGTGTTAAAAACTGTGAGACTGGATAAAGCCGCCTAAAGAATAAATACAGAGAACAGGCTGCTCCAAAGTTGAGAGGTCAGAGAAACGAAAAGAAACCAGCCAAAGAGATGAGAAGGAGCAGCGATGCCCTAGAAATCAAGAGAAGAAAACCTTGCTGACTTCTATAAAACTCTGAGTTTCGGGGGTGGGGAGGAACACACCAAGTTATTATTGTAAAACGACGTCTGTGTTTGGCGAATACTACAGTATTGCAACTAAATTATGGTGCCCCCAAATGGAGGAAAGCAGATAAAAAGGACCTCTTACATAATGGCACTTTAACGGAGTTAATTCCACTCGGTAGGTAGCACTACACTTATGCAGAGCCTGATCCACTCCCTTTTAAATTTATCCAGAGATTCAGTCTAAAAGGAGAAAATGAATGGGTTTAAAATGCCCTTCTCAAAATACAACAGGGAGACTTGTGATGGAGAGTATCAACAGAGCTCAACATCAAGGACCAAAGATTAATCCTTAGGGTAGGGGAAAGGGCACAGAACTGGACACAGCACATGTGCGTTCAAGTTCCAGCTAAATCACTTGCTAGCTGAATGCTACTTGAATAACTGTGGGCCATGATGTAACCTATTTGTTCCTGCAAACTCAGCTCAAGTTCACCTACTCCAGGAAGCCTTCCCTAACTTTGTAGATTCAGACAAATCCCTTTTTTGCTCCCATATCACTTTATCCTTGCCCTTTTATATATCAGCAACCTATTATAATTGCTAATTTATTCCTGCCTCCTCTAGGAGATATTAGACTATAATTTCCTTGTATTCCGTGGCTCAGCAGAGTGCCTGGCACACAGCAGGTGCTCAATCATGCAGAATGAATGCATGTTCCCCAAGCTCACTGCCTCAATATGTAAAATGGGATAATTAATGCCTACTTTTCAGAGTTCCTTTGAAATTTACATAAGATATGCTTAGGAAAAAAATCTTCATAAACTATAACTCCATATATAAAAGACTTGTGTTTGTCCTCCTCCTCTCCCCTTACTTTATAGACTAGCCCTTTAGCATGACATTCATGGTCCTGGACAATCTCTTTCCTGGCCACCTTTTCTATTTCGCTCTGCTGCTACCCCACTCCTCCATATTACAGCCGGCTAAGTAATATTTCAAGCAGACCAACTTCTTTCGTATTTCCTACATTTTAGATGATACGTACCTAACTATCTGTCAGCAGAAACAAGGTGGGCTGTTATAATTATAATGGAAGTAGTAGGAACGAAAAACAAATGTTGCCTGCATCTACTAAGCATTTTCCTATTCTCTGAGTCCTTTCCCTCCATCCTCGGAGAATGCTGACGTATCCCACTCCGCCACCAGCGAGCTTTCAAACATAGGTTTGCTTATATTTCCGATGCCTACTGGATAAAACCACCTAGCAGCATGGACAAGGTCCCTCATGACCTGGTTTTCCTCTGGCCACGTCATCTCCCGCCGCTGTTCTGCTAACAGCCGGTGCCACAGCCATAGTAACTACAGTATTGGCAGGTTTCCCAAGGCAGTAAGCCCGCTCAGCGTTCAGGCTTTTACACACGAGGGGTCCTTAGCCTCCAACGGCCTCCTCTACTTTGCTTATTCAATGACCTCCCTGTCATTTCTTAAGGTTCAAATCCAATGTAAACGCTTCGGTGAAACCTGCCCTGAAACACACCCTGGCATCATTAGATGCCTGCTCCTCTCTTATGACGCCGCCATACACGTCTCGTCACAGTCTTCAGTGACGGTGGCTGTCACTCCACTTCCTCCAGCCTGCACCCCCCGGGGCACTGGATCATGCTTACTGCTTGGTGGGGTGCCCGGCACCTAGTGGGTGTTCACTAGAGACCAGGGGAAGCTTCCAGGGCCTACCGCGGGTCATCACTGGGGGCTCTCCGTCACTGCCCATCACGCACACTGCTCTTCCCATCTCTAGACACGACTTTTTTACATGCTCTGTCCTTTGAGGTGGACATCGGCTGCGGATGGCGCTTCTCGTCAGTTCACATTACACCAACACAAAACTGTAACATGTAGTCTTTGAAAGGAGACGTAGGGCCGCACCACATTCAACAGACTGTCCAATGAAGACATTTACCTGCGTCCCACCGGATCCCCGCAAGCTGGGTGTAACCCCGCGCACCCCTCGCGCTCGAGGTCCTGGGAGTCGCACGCACCAGACCGAGGAGAGAAGGCAAGCGAGCGAGCGACCGGAAGTGAGGATCCGGAAGTGAGGGCCGGAAGTGGGAAAGCGGAAGTGGGACGGGGCAAAGGCACTTGGGCCTGGTTGGAGGCGGCGGGTAGGTCTGGGGAGCCGCGGCCTTGAATTTGAGTGGGAAAAGGTCCCGACAGGAGAGCTGGACTTTCTGCTCAGGTAGAGTCCCTTTGGAGGAGGGGGCGGTAACGGAGGTCGGAGGTCGGAGGTTGGCGTGGAGGGGCCGCTTAGCTCCTGTCCTGCTGGTGCCGTCCGAGTACCGGTGAAAGGGGGCCGAGATCCGCACAGTCTGCGTGAGGGAAGGTCCCTGCCTTGTGACGCCATCCCATCACTCCCGCTTTCTAGAAGCTTCTCCGCGCCCAGCCTCCCCGTCCAAAGTCCATTGAGAGCTCTCAGAGGGCAGTCGCTGGAAGTCGATTCCCTATCAGCCAACACCCTTCCCAGCATCTCCTTTCTTCCCTTAACCGTCCTGCCTGTGATGAGTCCTTTGGCGGCGGCGGCGGGGGACCTGAGGCCCAGAGAGGAGGTGGCAGAGCAGGGCCTCCCATCCTGCCTTTGGGATCCTTGTTAAACTAATGAGATGAGACAGG